TCTATAACTGGTAGGAAATCCTAGAAAAGTAATTCCCAAAGTGCACTGGATCTATGGCCATCCAGCTCCCCTTTCCCACCTACACCCCTAAAAAGCAACAAAACCATGCAGGACATAGGTTAAAAAAGACACTGTCAACATCAACAGGTAACAAGTCTGTTCTCACCACAATTAGGATACTAGAATGACTGAGCATGTAGTGGACAAATGTTCTCAAGTAAGAGGGCCTCATCCTTCTTAAGGTCCCTGGAAGAACTTCTGTACTCTGAAGTATACTCATTGCTACTTTTTGAAGATCAGAATTAAGCCAAAAAGTTGGTCCCTAGTTTTTCTGAAGTTATTCAGCTCTGAACTACAGCTTTAGCAAAACACTTACTATACCTGCAGATATTCATTTAGCAGTTTCATATTTATAACTGTGATAAATTACAGAGGAGATTCTATATCTGCATTTTCAGGTCCCCCACAGGTAAAAGCTTTTAGGTCAATCAGCATCTAATCAATTGTTTTAATTTTCTGAACAGACATTAGTAATACAACTTTATAGTTATTTTACATTTGATACTTTCTCAAAGTGCTTTCATATACATTATCTCATAGTCATTAAAATGATATTGAACAATAAAGTTTTTCTTTTTTTTAAGAAAAAGGAATGTAGGACTAGTTTTTTTAAAAAAAAAAACAAGTTGGTATTTCTTTACTACAAAGTACAGATTGCTGTGTTGCTGAGGTCTATCCTTCGAATGATCCCATATAAGTTTTTAGCTTACTGAGTTCTACTGAATGCTTGCTTTGCTAGTGTTGCCATTACTTAGTGTTTAAGCCCCTTAAGGTCAGGGAGTGCCTTCGAAAGCACGTGCTTTAGAAAGTGTGCAGCACTTTGCAGATTGATTGTCTATCTGAGCCACTTTTTTTGCATTGTCTCACAAGGCTGCAGGTATGCCGGAAAGACCCTACAACCAGAAAGTCAGGAGACCCGAATCCTTGTCTCTGCCACTAATGAACTGTTTTGAGATAATGGACATGTAACTTAACCATCCTCTCCTTTAGTTTCTGAATCTATAAAGAAAAGCGTCAGAGTACTGACAGTTTTCAGACAGCACTGAGTGTCGGAAACACCTAGAGAGATTCTTGGAAAACACCTTGGCTGAGACCCAACCCCACTGGGAATTCTGATCTGGGGTGATGCTAATTTATAAGTTTTTTAAACCCCCCTAGGGTTTTCTGTTGTACATCCCTGGACTAGGTTGTTAATAATAGTAGTAGTTAACATTTATGAAGTGCTCATTGTGTGCCAGACACTTGAGCTAAGTATCTTACAAATATCTCATTTAATCCTTAAAACAACACTGAGGTAGTTACTATTATTATCCCTGTTTTACAGTGTGGAAACTGAGGCTCAGGCAGGTTGAATGAGTTGCCTTCTAGACTGGCTGTAGAGCCTTAACTTTTTTTTTTTTTTTTTTTTTTTTTTTTTT